TCAATGTTGCATCATTCTTTGTTTCCATTTAAGTCTTCCTGGTTCAGCCTGTGTTTAGCACTTAAACCCTTTTTAAATGTTTTCTTTGCTAGAAGAAATCTGTGAAAAATTTATTAGTAGCCATGTGAAATAGTTTCTCTGCTTTAATACACACTGCAAATGGAAATGCCCTCTAACTGCGAATACAGTAGGGAATCAATTTAAACCAGACTTAGATCAGAGTAAATAATTCCTGTTTGAGACTGAAGGCTGTGAAAATTTATGGGAGAAAATAAATACTATTCATGTTAATGGGTTCTTATTAAATAGAGAACTGGAGAAAATAAATACTCTTCATGTTAATGCATCCTTCTTACTAAATAGAGAACTTGAGGATGGAAGAATGAAAATAACCTAAGKGAGGTGCCCTCTTTCTCCATCTGTTACCTGTCTGGGAGATTAATGTCGTTCGTTGAATGTTCAAGGTCCTCTAAGAAGTCAGAACTGAGCCCTGTTTCCTATGGAAACTGCAGGATGGTTCTATAACCCATCCTGAATGTGCCTTGTAGTTGAATCTGGAGACTGCTGTATTTTCCTCATCTTCCTTATTTTTGCTTAGTGTAAATTTTCACTGTTTTTTCCTGTGTTTTCTAACTGTTATTGCAGTACATTTTACTTATAGATCCATCTAAAACAAAACTAGACATCTAGGCACACTTGTATGTATGTGTGCCTAAATTAAATTACTTGGGAATCCTTCCTAAAATGCTCAGCGAGACTTCTGACCCCCAATTTGCAAAATAAATAAATAAAATAAAATAAAGGGAGACTCTCCATCGATTCAGAGAGCAGAGCTGCTTCCACGGCGCCTGTGCCCTGTTAGTTCTGTGCAAGACTGAGAGCACTCATATTGCAATGTGGCAGAAATTTAATTTTAGGCGTTTGCTTCTGCTGTGCCTTATGTTTAGAGAGGGGGTAGCAGAGTAAGGTAAGGTTGTGAATATTTCTGCTGAGTCTTCAGATCCTTACTTGGCCATCTGCTCACAGTTCATATTTTTAATAATTTCATATGTTGACTTTGTCAAGTTTCCTTTTATTGCAGAAAAGCTCCATAGAGGCCTCATTTTTGCCTGACTTACCAGAAGTCATGACACCTAAATGAAGTACCTGTATGTTTTGTTTGAACGGGTATCTTGGTAGAAGAGAGAGAACCTCTTAGTGCCCTGAACAGAGGAAAAATGGGTAGCATGAACTCTGCTTATTCCACAATTCAGAAACGCAGCTGGATATGCTAGGGAGGCAGGTAATCCTTTTAGGTTTGGACTAACCTCTTTTTCCTTTGTGTGTTGGCCTCACAACCCCTACTATAGCCATATCTCTTATTTTTTTAATTACGTGCTCCTATTTGCCCCTTGCATTTTCTTAAACTCCTTTGCTTTTGTACAGGTGCCAATCTGGATACCTGTTTATCTGCATCACCTGCAAGCTTTTCTTCACGTTCTGTCCTTATCCTTAAGACTTCTCCTATCGATTGGAAGTACAGATCCGTTAGCAGTTTTATACTCCTCACCAAAATGTGAGGACTCTGGAAATGTGAGGCCATGCTTCATCCTGCACTTTAGATAATTGTATGTGAAGGCCAAACATCATCTAATCAGTGATGAGTTCATCTGTTTTATGCAAGCAGTACAAACCTAGAAGAGAATGTGAAGCCGTAGTCAAAAAGTATCTTATATATTATCAGATTATGGCAGTTATTTCTCTTTTTGTTTTTCTGGAATAACAGTGTTTCTTTGCAGTCAGACATATCCTTGTGATGGGTTTAATGTTAATGAGTGATTTGAAAATCAATGATCTGTTTATGACGGGAAGCCCTAGAAGAATGGTGCTGACTGGGGGGAAAAAAACACTGTTAAAACATTTCTTGTAAATTTGTAGGTCCACAGGGTTTAAGGTTTGGATGGCAGTAATAGATTTCGGAATAAGATTAAACAGTGAATATAGCACAAATCTATAAATTTTAACAGAGCTTATATATTTATTTAATAAAAATTGTTTAATTATAAAGCCTAAAAAAATTTGGTGAGAGAGGCTTTAGTTGTATGTTGCTTCCAACCACATTATTTCCTTTCATGTACTTATGAAGTTTGTGGACTTTAATATCTAAATTTAGCTCCCTATACGTGGAACAAGGAACTTGGGAAAAGCCTCTTCGCTTGCTCATGTAAAATAACTTTGTGGGCCTCTCTCCCCCATCGCAGTCCAAGGCAATTGTATAGAAAGTCTCTGAAAGGGCTTCTCTAGAAACACGAAGCTTCATGAAGGCAAAAGCGAATTTTTTTAAGTARGTCATTTTCCATAATACAACAGTCTCATAGATGTTTTCATATCATTTGGTATTAATTTAGGGGGAAAAAATAAGGCAGTCTGTTTAATAGTATCCCAAAGCCACTGAAGGTGTGAAACATGAATTAATTGTTATTTTGAAGCATTTTGTCACGGTTGGTAGGTTTGTTGTGTATCATTATGTATATATTTATATGTTTTTCTTTATATCATTATCATGTATCTTTTTATATATTTAAAAAGCAGACTGCAAGAAATGTCTTTTGACTTTTGATTTTTATAGAATTAATGAGAAGTCGTTAAAAAAAAGACAGTTCTATTTCTTGGAGTGGACCTGGATGCATGAAGATCATGCAAGTGACACGAAGTGGGACCTGTCACTAGTAATAGATCACAGAAACACGGAAAATGTATTTTGCATCTAGCTACAGGGAATAAAATAGCGTAACAAGGCATGCCTGAGGATGGGCCTGTGCTGCTTACAAAGAGATTTCTCAGTTTGTTAGGTCTATATAGATGCTTTGTTCCCAGCACACCCTAATTATTGCCTTTTAAATTTTCTTTTGCCAAAAAAGTTAACATTTCAGGTGCAAAGCAGTTGGCAGGGGTATGCAGTGTGCACAGCACATCATTACAGAGGGACTGCCAAGATGCTTCTGCTTTGGTAACCTGTGAAAAAGCAGCAAAAAAATAAGATGTGGTAGGTCCCATGAAAGCTCCCTGTAAAGCAGTTACTCTGAGATTGGCTTGAATTTGGATTCAGTTTCTCACAAGTTGAAGAAAGTTTCCAGTTTCTTTATGGGGCTCTTCCCACTGATTAAAGTTGCTCTAATGTCTACAGTGCTTAAAATATACGTGTATGTGTTTTTATTTATTTCTAATGTGCTGTCCAGGAAAATCTGTTTTGATTTAAGCAGGATTCCTATCTCTGTAGGGGAAAAAAAAAAAAAAAAAAAGCACTAATTATCTTAGCTTAATCATGAGTTTTGGAAGGGCTTTTTTTTTTAATCCAGAGGGAAAGTAAAAATGTGTGGTGCCCTCTGCTAGATGGACCTTGTCCGTTACTGGAGTACCTGTATTTTCAGAAAGGACGCTATTCTTTAGTGCTTTATCCATCCTTGCTCTGTGTATTTAAAGCAGGGGATATATTCATCAAAGAATGAGCCTGAAAACTCAGCCTGAAAGTGACTTTGCATCTCAGCGGGTTTGTTAGGGAGCTCTGAGTATGGTGATTTAGGAGCTGATTCTAATGATCATTTCAATGCAAACTAGTTAATCAGCACTATATAACTTTATTTTATATATATATATATATATGAAATAAATAGCAAATGTTCATATGGCAATGCTGAATGCCAGTATTGTCATCTTCTGTCTAAAGAAGTTACAATTCTTGTGCACATGAAAACAAATATTTCCTGTTACCCAGTGTAAGGTGATGATAGGTATGACTTTTAACCACATTTAATGAGAAAAGTTATCACACTTATAATAATTTAGATTTACCATCTGTGCGGGATATGCRTCCTGGCATAAGCATTTATAATTTGCTGTGACGTTTGGTCTCTGTTTTAGTTTTTCAGATGGAACCATAGTCATAAGCAGTTGAAAGATGGTGCATCTTTTCACTTCCACATTGATCACTAAGGAAGCTGCATGATCCTGTCTGGTATTAAAATCAGTGCCAGATGTTAATTAATGAATCCTTGCTTAAAAGGGATGCGCCGTGAGCTGTTTTCCTGACTCGTACAAATCTAGTGTAATACAATATACTGTATTATAGTAATACTATATTATTATGTCATATAATATATAATATAATGTAATATAATTATGCTAAGCCAGCGTTGGCCTTTCGAGCCTTGGTTTTGGTCCATGTGGTCAGTGTTTGCTCCTGATGAGACTCTTGTGTCTCAAGCTTTGCTTGCATTTGGGAGTGGAGTGAGCTGTTAAAAGGTACTGTCCGTCTGCTGCTGAGTTGGGATATTTGCATGCCTTCTGAAAAAAGCCRTGCTCAGGAACTTGGAAAGCGTTGGCCTTGCTGAATACGTAAAGAAGATGGGGTTTTGGGTGACCCTTCTTTCACAGACTGTGGCTTTTGTGACACAGCAAGTACTTGACAAAAATGGTGCAGCTCGTCTCGACCAGCGTAGATCTTTCTGAATATCTTTGTGCTCAGCTTTGACGGGGGAAATGGGAGATGTAGAAGCAGCTCGGACGCCCTTCCTTGCTTTGTGGGTCCTCTGAGAGGTGTTCTTGCTTGAGCTGCCTCTTTGCAGACCTCACGTGTAGTTATCTGCGGCAGGGGCGACTTAAGGTTCAAATTGATTCCCCAATTTGTATGAGTGATCTCTTTTGCTCCTAGTGAATCTTTTACCCATCGCATCRGGTTGCATCTGGAAGTATCCCCCTTGGCAGGGTTGAGCCTGAAACTTTAGGAGGTAAAAAATAATCCAGTTCAAATATGGTTTATGGGCCGACTATTTATCTTGGTGAATGCTTCCTTTTGATGCAAGCRTTTTAAAACTTCTGCAAAGTGAATGAATGTATCCTTAGGGTAATCATTTGGTGAGCTGATAACTTATCCATCATTCTCCTCTCTTTTGCCTTCCTTTCCCTTCCCTTCTCTCTCTCTCTCTCTCCCCCTCTTTCTCACCCCCAAAATGCCTTTGCAGAAACACAAGGTGGATCTTTTCTACAAGCTGCGCCACGTGATGAACGAGCTCATCGACCTGCGGCGGCAGCTGCTCTCGGGCCACTTGACGCAGGATCAGGTGCGGGAGGTCAAGAGGCACCTCACGGTGAGGCTGGACTGGGGCAATGAGTAAGTAAAGGTACCACCTGGTACTGCCCTTTCTCATTACTTTTAAAAAGCTTTTATAAAAGAAAAAGGGTATTTTTTTTTTCTTCCAGGAAAATTTGCAAGCAGGTAAAATATTGGGAAAATCAAATTTGGGAAATCAAATGCAACTTTTTTTTCCTGTGAGTTTATTGCATAGTTCTTCAGTGTTTACTATAAAAAATGTCTTTATTGGTAGGAGTTTACTAGATTAGCTGCTGTTTAAGAATTTTTAGCTCAATTTACTTCATTTGTATCACTGCAGTGGATATTAGGGCTGTGAAGGTGTATTGCTAGAGAATAAATGGGCCTTTCTTCTTTTGAAGAAGTGTTTTAGTGGTGRATGTAATAGGTGCTGTGGGGAAGCTGAGACTGCACTATTGACAGTTCTGGTGTAAAAATCRGCATTTTTGCCTGTTGATTCCATTGCCTGGAGATTTAGTCCCATGTGGACATTCCCATGTTGATTTTTTAGAGGACTTTTCARGAACCAAAGAAGACAACAGTTCAGATAGAAGCTGAAATGGCAATAAATTACCCCCAAACAAAAACTAGCCTTTCTCCAGAACTTTTTCATGGGGGGAAAAAAACAGGTTTTCTACTTTGTAGTTACAGTGCACCAGGCACATAAGTTRTGCAAGGCATGTGCATGACCTTTTTGAAGGAAATAGCACTCTCTTCAGGCATATAGGAACTGTTTTTCAGCTAGGAGTAGCATTAGTGTTAATTGACATAGCTGGGGAAAGGGATAAATCTTTAYGTCTCCAACTAAGGAAGCAAATGAGATGATTTTTAGTAACATACCTTTGTCGTGGCTCCATTCCTTAGTCACCTACTTCAGTGCAATTGGCAGGTGTAAGTATGCTCATGATTAAATTACTCTGCTCAGGTTACCTGTGAGTTCTGCTTCTTACTGTACAAGAATAGATAAATCCATAGAGAGAAAAAAGGTGCATAGTATCAGAGATGCAGGCTAAAACAGGGAAGGCTATCCCTAAAGGAACTGCATAAAAAAGGCATATGGTCCAAGAGAGATCTAATTGTATCTAGACCTATATAAATATGTAGATGTAACAGCATTTGTATGCAAAAAAGACATGGAGTTTGGAAGATACTCCTGTAATCTCAGGTTGTTCAGAGAATTTTTAGAATTCTTACCATATTTTATCAGCCCATTCTACGTTTTATAATAAAACTCATGACCATATGAGTTCATCTGTTAAGACCAAGTATCTTCCCTGTAAACAGAACTTGCAGAGTAAAGCTGTTTTTCAGAGAAAGTGATGATGTTCAGTGCTTCTGTTATCACCTCTGAGATCTGCTTGTTCCCTCCTGCCCTTGCTCCCAGTGTTTGCAACTGCCTTTTCGTACAAAATATCATATTTACAGTTTATTCTAGTTACCAGTCCCATAACAAGTGGCTGTCAGTGCTGTGAGCTTTTCACTGCTGCTCTGCTGTGGCCAAATATTTGACCAATCCACACGAGTAGTAAGTAGTTATTCAAATAACTTAATGTATATCAGGGAGGTCCTGTGGGCTCTGCTTTTTATCAGCAGCTTAATGCAGTAGCTTTGAGTGATGCTCTGTGCTGCAGGTTAAATCTTGAGTGCTCTGCTTCAGTTGCACTTGTCTTTAGTCCTTGCGATAGCTGTCAAAAATCTTGAGCCAAGTGGGTTGCTCTCACTTTTGACCTCTTAGTTTCTAGCCAGGAATTAAAACTTGACCAGGTTTTAACAGCCCTTGCATCCCTTTTCGTTTTGATGTGTGGGAGGACTAAAGATTTTGGGAGCACTTGATAGTTGGAGCTGCACGACAGGTTCTTACCGTGGTAGCTGCTACTGCTGCATGAGACGGGTGACCAACCTAGGAGTGACCAATTTAAATGGCCCTAATGAAATACCCAAAAAAAAGAAAACTGCAGAAAGAGCAGTTAACGTTTCTGTGTTACTATGTGATCATTCTGCTCCTGAATGTCCCCAAGTTCATGTGGTGATTGAATGTGGTGATTCTTTGGAGATCTTTAAAACCCGCTTGGATGCAGCCCTGTGCCACGTGCTCTAGGTGACCCTGCGTGAGCAGGGGGGTTGGACTCGATGACCTCTGAGGTCCCTTCCAMCCTTCGGCATTCTATGATTCTATGAATGGGCAAGGAGCTTCCTTGGATCCTTGAGGAAACTGCTAATAACATCTCCCCGTAGCCTGATACTTCCTTGCTCGGGARTATTTGTTGTTGTCATCTTTAATCAATTCCTCACTACAATTGCTTTCCTCACCCATCATCTCCATTTTAAGAAAGTATAAGTCTTCTATTTTACTTATTTTTTGATAGAACGCCCTRCAGTTTCTTCATATGCAAAATACCTTAATTTTAGCAATGGCAGTGTATTGACACAGTCTAATTTTCACTGAGATGTTTGCATATATTCCATTTTCTCTAGTTCTTTTTCTTTAATTTTTTTTAAAAATAGGCACAGGGTTTGTGTAGAGCCATCAGGATCATTTCCTTTCCCTTCTCCAACTTTGTAAATGCATTTACATAAGGTAAATATGCAYGGTATTAAACAAGGCTTTGATGCAGTCAAAAAAGGAACAAGGAAAATCGGTGGCTCAAATTGAAGTGAGGAGGAGTGAAAGCAGAAACAAAATGCACAATTTTGGAGTGAAGGGAATCAGATTTCGAGTTGCACTGAGTTCCTGCGGGCTCCTCTGCAAGAGCAGAGGTACTTTGGGAAAGTGGGTTTTAGCCTTTCTGTGAGGCTCTTCCACTCGGAGTGATTGTGACTTGTGTTTTACGAATTCTAAGCAGTCCAATGTCCACGCACAAAATATGTGGAAAATACTAAAAATTCCCCCAGTAAGAGAAATATCTACTTCTAAAGACCAGTGGTGTGRACAAGGAGGACAATGCAAATGTCAACTTAACCAGACTTGTCCCAGGCTGCTTCTACCAAGAGTTGTGGTAGTGTTGAGTTTTTTTCCTAGGTATCCTTGAACAGAAAGCCACGTAAGCCAGTGTCCAAATTTGCTGTATTTTATAGAAATACTGTCTGACAGCCCCGAGCTGATGCTTTTTGCATTCCCACAATGGCTGGTAATAAATAGTGCAAGTGGCTCCATAACCAAGCGYGGCTGTTCCAAGCATTATGTTGTCAGTCCTCTGCAAACAAAAATAATTGATACAAATGAAGCATTTGCACAAAGATGAGCTTCAGCTCGCACAATAAATGAGAGCATGTCAATACGCAAGGAAAAAAATGCCATTACTGCACAGTAACCCAGTATTAGAGAAGGAGCCTTTTCCAGGCTGGAAATCCATAGTGTTCTAAGGGATTTGACTCAAACCAGGGGCTGTAGCAATTTCCAAAGGGATGCTCCTGTGCTTGTGTTGAGCACTATTAAATAGCAAGTAATATCTTTGTCACGGACAGAGTAATGAGTCCTACCACCGTTTGACCTTACCTCTCTAGAGAGCTGAAATTATGAGAATAGGGCAATGTCAAGTTATGAGTAGCTGGGGCAGGTTTTTCTGCAGCTCTGTAGTGGTAAATTGTAACAGCACGGGAATTCTGAATTTGTCTGCTGCTSTTGTCCTTACGTAGAGGAAAAACTCCTTCCCGAGTACTCCTTGTGAGAGAGTGTCTGTGTGTACACATGCAAGTGAGAGGTTGTTTTGAAAATGTTGATTTTGGGGGGCTGTAGGGAAAGATTTTCTGTAAAGCAATATGAGTATGATCACTCTATAGATGTATTTAKAAGCTTATTTTATGTATTATGTAACTGTTAGGTAGAGTCAAATTACTATTTTTACTTGCTCCTGGGTTTTGTGCTAAAGCTCTGGACTTTCTATTGCACGTAGACCTTAGTGGCACCTGCAGCTGAGGGTTGCTTAGTGTACACTCATTTTCATCTTACTTATTTGGCAATCAGAGGAAGCAAATTGCATCTTTGCAGGTGTAGTTTTCAGGGCTTGGTTCAGGGATAACCAATGCTTGATAGGCTTCATCAAAATGAGGTTTGCTGGCTTTGAGAAGGAAGTAAAATATAAGTCACTGGTAAAAAGGTAAAAATTAAGGGTATAGCCATGACTTTGACAGTGCTAGAGTCTACAAACTAACATTTGGCGTGAGAACTGTGTCAAGGAAGGGAAGTTGTCTCTTTCTTCGTGGAAAATATGATTGTTTTTGGTGAAGAACAAAGGATGTGAAAGTGCCAGCTTGTCRGAGCGCTGATTTAGCGGCAGTTGTGGTGCTGCTGAGCAGCTGTTGGGCTGTAAGGGGACAGGGGCTGAACTGTGTTTTGGAGACATGAGAGTTCAGGGGTATAATTAGAGGAGGAAAGCCTGACTGAGCAGTGAATGAGACCTCAAAAAGAAAAAAAGGGAACCTTAAAGTACAGTACTTAGAGAAGGCAGGAGCTGGGAAATGGTTCATTCACATTTCTTCAGTTTTACTCCAGGTGCGTGTGATTTTAGTGAAATTTTCTGAGCATTTTATGCTACAAAATGAGAGAAAAGACAGGGTAAAAGTTGKTTTTTTGCTGCCTTTTAGGCTTAGTCGACCATTATTAATTAGTAATAGTTGCTCATTAATTTGCCTGGCTACAAAATAGCCTTTTCTGTTTACTACTCATCTGCAGCTGTGACCTGAACAGCTGCCTTTACTACAGCATCTCTTAGCTGATCCTCCTCTTTGCACTGATTGAGCCTTTTTTGAATTATTAATGTATTTAATTTGAGCTAAAGTCTTTCTGATTAGAAGCTATTTTGTCTACTAAAGATCCCAGTTAAAATTCYTCTTTCTGTTGTTGTTGTTATTAGTAAGAAAAATAATACTATGTTTATATAGTGATCAAATCAGGGGGTTATTGCACGAGTACCAGGAATTTCAAAGCAGCTTCCCCAGGCACTAAATTTGCACATCTGAGCAGGATTATTGATGCAATTTTTTGCTAAGTGTACAGAGAAAGAACCTACTCAAATATTGCAGCAGAAACCAGAGCAGTAACTTTATTTGCCCACAGCCTTTCATTTGTTAGTGTTTCATCAGTTGCCATTAATTGCTGTAGCTCTGCCCAAGTCAGGGAACAAATATAACAAGCTGCCGGTGTTTTTTGGTATGTGTATGTATAGTTTTATTTAAAAGGATTATCTATGATTAATCTTTCTGCAGTCACTGAATAAGTCACCTTCAGTTAATCACTAAATACAATTAATATTTCCTGAATCCTTTCCATTGCGTAAGCGTGTGTACTAGGTAATAGCAAATGCTGTGATATGTTGCACTAATCCTTGTCCCTTGCTTCTCTTTTGCAGACACTTGGGGCTAGATTTAGTTCCTCGGAAGGACTTTGAGGTGGTGGATTCAGATCAGATCAGTGTTTCAGATCTTTATAAAATGGTAAGAAATCTGTGGGAGAATCTTAGGAGTTTTCCTGGGGGTTGGCGTGAAAAAGGGAAAACTTGATGTCTTAGTTAGAATAGCGTTATAAGTTAAATGCTTTTCTTTTTTTACACCATAAGCATCCAAATAGTCACTATTTCAATTACTCTGCATTCTTTGTAGCAAAAATGAACCAACTTTCTTAGGAAAATGGCATGCCAAATACATTTTGGTAGAATGGAGAGAAAAGATACAAGAAAAATGCTCAATGTTTATTTGGGTTCTAATGAAGTATAGATACAGCACACACAAAATCTCTTTTGGAAAGTCTTGGTTTAAAAAGTAGTGTAGGTCCCTTTGAACATCATTTCATCTTGCAATTTTCTCTTGGTTGTGAATCTACTTTGGAAGCCACGGGAGGAGTTCTAAAAGGCAAATCCATCAGGTGCAGCTGATAGAAATGATTGTGCTCTTCACTGTTGGTTTTAAAATCAATATACTAACATTAAACAAGGCAGCAAGAATCTTTTCCACTTATTCGAAGAACTAAATAAAGTGTCCTCTCCTGCTGAATGTCAGCGTTGACCGTCACTGTCATTTTTGACAACTTCTGTTTCTAAAAACATCTCCTGGTGGAGGCTTCGCAGCCTTCTCAGGCAATCCCACACAACCCTTTTGCATGGCTTACTGTTCTTATCGTTGGCAAGTTTTATTAATAGTTCTCTTAGACCTAGAGGATTTCTTGGTGAAATCTGAGCTTGAATTTGCCTGTCATGTCCAGAGAAACAGATTACTCCCTGCCTCTCTGCACCTGGCTTTGTTACTGAGGACTGTTGTTCTGTCCCACTCAGTTGTTCATTCCGTAGGCAAAACAACCCAAATTCTTTCAGTTCTATATAGATCAAATTTGCTAGACCACCAGGTCTCACGTGTGTTCTACGCATCCCTTCATTGCAATGGGGTCCAATTTTTATCATTACAGCCATTAGTGTGTTCATCTCGCACTAAATTTGTTTAAATTTGTTTGAAATTTAATCTCACACTAAATTTAAATTTGTTTGAAGTATGAGAGTTGTGCTCTTAATGAACCCTAGAGCCACTAATACAATTCACAAGGTGTTTATTTGGGTCCTCTTGCATTAGGAGGRCTGTATAAGGCAGTTAATTTTGTTCAGGGTCACGATGCAACTATAAAGTGAGGAACATGTGATGTTCAGAGGCACAAGCAAAAACCTTTTCAAGGTGCTTTTGGAGAAAAAGAGAAAATTGATTTTTATGCCAAGTAAATGTTATGATCTGACTTCTGCAAGTAATCACCTTCCTACTTGAAAATGTTGTTTGACTCTTAATTAGCTAAGATTAGGTAGTGGTAAGTCTGTGTCTARGCACTTTTTATTCCTGTGCAGGATGTCCTTTTCCCCGGGACAAAGGCACTTGTTAAAACAGGCTACATGCTATTGCTGTTTTGGCTTTTTTTCCATCACACAACAGTAGTTTTTTTTGGGGAAAAATATAATGTTGCATGAGGTAATTAGGAAGCATATAACCCTACAGTAATAATTTTGAGTGCTAATTCCTCATTTACCGTAGACGAAGGAGTCTGGTGCGTTTACACCTGAGTTTTCCTTGAAAAAGCAGCAAAGAAAYAACTCTGCCCTTAGCCCTGAAGGACAAGTCCTCAGCTCAGCAGAGCTTGCTGCTGAGGTCTCTGCTGGTATCAGGATATGACCATTAGTCAGTTCACACTTTGCTGTTGCCTCAGTTTGCAGATTCAAGAAGACACTGCTGTCTGATCACATCACGTCCACAGTCAGAAGGCAATTTCGGGAATCAAAACAGCGGAAAACCTATTATTTTTTAACTTAAATATTGCAGATGTTTGAAGGGGTTTCTTTCTTCAAGCGGGGGAAGAATCCTCCGTTCGCCTGGCAAAATATTTAATGGATTCTCAATTGTGCAATGAGATTTTTGCTTGTAAGATCTATCGAATATAGTCATGAGTTCACAATTACTTTTCACATTTAGAGCACGGTATGGCACATGCTAAATGTGCCATAAGAAATAATCTCATATTAGCAGAAAAACATACAAGGCAACATCCTGGGCATTCTCATATATAAGTGGGAAGAAATTCTGTGTGGAGTTACTAGACTTACCATTTCTTCTATTAGTAAAATTTTCAAGTTTAAAGACGATATGTAAGATTTTAGTTTTATTTGCAAAGTTCATTTCCAGCTACTAGATGAGGTTTCATTCTCTTCATCTCGTTGTCAGAAATGTCAGACCTTAGAGCCTTGGACTTTGTGTTTCTCCAGGGAAGTCATCACAAAGCTTCATCCTAGAGGCTTTGGGATGAGTGGCATTTGTCAGAAATRTTTGTTTTGTTCCCGAAGGAAACCAGACTGCTCTTTCCCTCTGATGATGTTTGTGATTTTAGCMAATTCCACAGAGCACAGATACATTTTGCTTTACATGAGCTTCTGAAATTGTGGAAAAATTTATGGTCAGAYTTTTGCCAAGGAGCTCAGTACTGGAGTTCAAACTGACACTGAAGTCCTTTGCTGAACTTGCTGTACTTCTGCTTAAGCTGAGCTTGCTGTCCAGCGTGACAGTGCCAGGCAGCATCCCGCCTGCCTCGCCGAATCTATTCCAGTTGCTTTTGTCTGCCTTGAATTTTGTAAAGTTTCTATTGACTGGTTCTTCTAGACTGCCTAAGGCCCCTTCCTTTCAGAGGTCTTGCCCTCTGTGAACTTTACCAAGACAGCATTGCTCCTGGGGTTGATCTCTGAAGAAGAGCTTCGCTTTACTTGGATACTGGCTACAAGCACAAGCAACTAGCTGCTACTTCTTGAGCCAGAGCATTTTTTATCAATACAGTTAGTTTGCCCACGCAGGTATCGCTTCCCAACTTGTGTTCTGGGTTGCTGTGCGAGACCGTTGAGTGTCTTGCTAGAGTCAAGTCATCCACCAGCCTTTTCCATCCTCAGGTTCAGGATGGAAAAAAATGGCTTGGTTAAACATGATTTACCACTGGTAACTCCTCACTGGCTTTTTCCACTCGCCTTCTCATTCATGTGTTGAGAAATGAGAACCATGAGAACATAGGTGCTTTGGGTGGAATCTAGTCTCTTGGTTGCAATAAACTTGCAACCTAATTTTCAGCCARTTGGTGAGGGTTTTGCTAGCGATGGGCTCTGCAAACAGCAGTGTTGGCTGTGGAGGCCAGCGCTCTTTGGACCATTGCTCACCTCCCTGACTCGAGTTCATCTCCCATGGTACCACTTGGATTGACAGCTGAGTTTTGGTCAAAAGAAGAAGCTTGAACAGTTTTAATAGCTGGTCACTTCAGAGCCGGTTGATGTTCACTGAATAAATAAGCAACTCAAGCCCTTAAACTAAAAGGGGTTTTGTCATTGGGAGGAAGATGCTGTCAAAAGATGCACAGTGCAGCTGGAGATCGTAATTTCTCCTTCTGGTAGTGCAGAAGAGGACACTTTTATAACAGTGAACATGGAGCTGTCAAAATATGCCATTTAAATTACCATCATCTTGATTTAATCTCATTATGAAGATTAGCTTTCATTTTCTGGTAATGAGTCCTCCCTCTGTTTTCTCTTCCGAGTGGAAGACAAGGGTGTGTTTGGGAATCACTCTAGTTGAATGTTGGTGGGATCCCTTGGACTTCCAGCTCTTCTGAAGCCACAAGGCTGTCAGCYGATCAGGCTTGGCTAGGTTGGTTTCTTAGAAGATATAAACTGTGTGTTAGAAGGATAGAGATAGGGAATAATAAAGATGATATATGTTCATGTGCAATAGTATTAATATTTCAGTTTAAAATGCCTATTTAAAATGAATATGTCAGACAGGCATGGCAGAATCACTAATGATATATGTATTTTTAAAGCTCTCCAAAACCTTTTCAATTTAAATTAGTATTAAATCTTCCCTTAGAGATTAAAAAGGTTGAGTTGAGAGGCTTGCAGTCCATTTTCTGATTATACCATTTCCTCTTAGCAGGAAAGGCTTTAAATACAGGATCATCCCCTGCACTCTGTYGCAGCGACGTAGCTCTTAATACAGACATTTGTATATAGGTGTTGGCCAGCTGAAGTTTTGGAAATGTCTTGCGTAGTTTGTCAGGATTTGACTTTGTGACAGACCAGATCAGAGCAAAAATTTTGAGATATTGAGTCTTTCTTTCTAGATTTTTATGGATTTGAACAAAAGCACCTTTTTCATAGATGAGGATTAGTGATAAYGTTATCTCCTCCTTTAGCAAGAGGATGCATAGATTATGCAACATCCTCAAGGACCTCCTGAAAAGAAATGCTGTTACAGTACTGGAAGTTCTGCCCAGCTGACCATAGCSATTTACTTTAAAACCTGCATTAAATGCCACAGTTAAATTATAGTAATTAAGCTAAGRGAGGCCTGAGAATTAGAAAAAGCCTATTAGAAAGGTAGTGGTCTTGTAATTGATATATTGTAAAATAGGAAACAAAAGGTTGCTAATAATCTTGAACAACCTTTTAAAAGTATTGTTTTATTGCTCTGCAGATGTAATGTAAATATTTCTTGCCTCAAAAGTTCTAAACTTTATTATTCTCTATCTTCTCAGCATTTATCAAGCAGACACAGCGTCCAGCAGAGCACATCACAGGTAACTGTTCTACAATGTCTGCATGTGAATTTTCATTGTCTTTAAGTATTTGAAAATATATCTGTCCATAAAGGTATAAAACATATATAAGATTGGACAAGTCTCATGGAGCATTTTCACTGAAGATCCCCAACAACAATTCACTCAGAAAGGTCCTACTCCAATTTCCATTTATCCCTTTAGTGAGACCCAAAGTAACCTGTTTATTCGGAACAGCTTACAAAGAATATAAAGCTCTATCAAAATGAGAAATGTTTTTTTTTTGATTGGGCACTCTTTTTCATCCTTTGGTTTTATGAATAGGTCTTGATGTACTTGATGAAAACATAAATTTTTCTGGTGCTTGGCTTTAACTCAGGTTATCTCAACATCAGATTGATATACCTAAATTATCACTATATTTATATATGAACTGCAGCTGTTAAAAAGACATTACTTAAAATCTTTCATTTATGAACAACTGAGAAAGTGTTTTTATGGTTTTAATCAGGTGGATACGATCCGTCAGCGTCACGGGGAAGCTTGCCGCRTGCCAGTGCCTCATCACTTCTTCCTCAGCCTCAAGAGCTTCACCTACAACACGATTGGAGAAGACACCGATGTCTTTTTTTCTTTATATGACGTTCGAGAAGGCAAACAGATCAGGTAGGACTACTCGAGGAACTTAAAAGCTTTCTAAAGGGAAAAAATAGTCAACAAAGTAGTTAAATTGTTGGAAAAGAGTATACAAGCTCTTGTCATGGAGTGACTGAAAGGATGAAGTTGATGAATTGAGTTATGGTGTTGCAATGCCTACCTCAGAATATAAGTAATGCTGGTTGTCCTATCYGCAGAAGTGTTAGAAAGACACAATGAGTGAATTTTGTTCAGATTTCTGACATCATCTTCTTGTGTTAAGGTATGTCTTAGCATTTAGTTCCTGCCATCTTAGGGCCATTATTTAAGAAATACTAGTACTAGTTGGGTTGYGTGGTGTCTCTGGTTAAGAAGATTGCTGTGTTTTTAGGTGGTGGACTGAGTGCTCCTGCCTTACAGAACTGTCGAAATACAGCTTGCTTTCATCACTGTCACTAGTGATATAAGTCTGGGTGTTTGTATTTTTCTGTCAGTAACTCTAGCTTGGACAGCTGGGGTGCTCAGTGTGTTGAGGTAGCTAGTGCTGATTTCAAACCCATGCAAAATGTGCTGCATGTGGTTTGAAAGCATTAGAATTTGTAGAAGAGCATCAGAGAATGTGCACTGTCTCCTCAGTGACGTGTACCTTGCTCTCRGCTCGAGTACAGCATTTTGTGTTGGGGTTTTCTTTTGAATTTTGGTTAAGGGCAGTCCTGGCAATTGGCTCAGACTGTTTTTTTTTTGAAGTGGTCAGAACTACCCTATAAATTTGAGCAAAAATGATGTTTAGATGCATTTCAACCCGAGGCAAGAAAAATCAAAACAAACAGAGCTGTCTTCCCTTTGTATTTTGACAATTTTAGTCCAAGGAAGTTCAGAGCAGAGTGATCAAGGTTTGTAGCATTTCACATCCTAGTGAGCATATAGAAAGCTCCAATAATTCAGGTGCTGTTTATAAATATGTATCTGTGATCACTGAACCATTTTGAGGCATGTAGGAGGAGGAATGCCTGGTCTGATACTGCACCACGTTTGTTTCACCTGCACTGCATTAGAAATGTTCRTTTTGATAACATACCTATAATTAGGACATGTCTGTAATTACAGGCAAAAGGAACAGAAAATGACTGTTAGGAGTGCAAGGTGAGAATGGCAAAGCTTCCTACAAAGCAAAAATTTCCACAATTAATTCATAACACAAAATAGTAAAACATCAGGTTACTTAGGTCAGGAAAGCTGCACGTAAAGGACAAGAGAAACTACAGCCCTGACTGCACAAGCTTCAGAAATTACTTCTAAAGATGATGGATCACCTTGGGCCACGGTTCTGCGTAGCTTGTAAACACCAAGTGGGAAATCCTGCGAGAGAATTTCCTYAATCATGAGGAAAACATGAGCTACAACGATGCAGAAGTGCAAAGGAGAGTTGTGGCATATTTAAATATATCAAATAATGCTTTGAGGTGCAGACGGGTGTTTCCATCCTGCTCCTGGTATCGTGCAGCAGTGAGGGGCTGCAGTGCAAATGTCGTTTTTATGATGTCTTGCATCCCAAAGAGGGGAAGTGTGTGATGAGGCTGAGCTCTTTTGTAGGGAAGAAACCCAAAGCRGATAAATGTGCTGCTGCAAAAGGAGAACGATGCTATTATATCTACATTAAAGGATGAAGTCTCTTTCCTGCTCTGTGCACCTCATGAAATGGTAGAYTGAGGTTAAACCAAGCAAATTTCTGCATGCTGTGTTCTCGCTGAAAGGATAAAGTGACTTTTGTGGGAGGGTTTTGGCACTGATGGATCCAAGCTGTCCATATGGTTACACTGGAGATTGCCTGGCACATTAGTGCTTCGGACACATCGTGGATTGCAGGTGTGTTGGTTGTAGCTGTTATTTCCCACTCGGGATAAACACAAAATCAGCTCAAGGTTTCTCTTTTTCAAGAGAAGTAACACTTGAATRCAGGTTAGCGCTCAGGTGGCTGCTCGAGCTGGAGGTACATTCCCAGGCTCCACATGCAAATGTGGTGCTCTGTTGTTTCATGGCTGGTGCTGTCTGGAAATGAGAAATAGCCAAAACGGATAATGGGCAAATACAGGTAGTCAGAAAAGCAACGTGGCTGTCCAGAAGGTAAGACTTGGACATAATAAAAATTAGGTACTTTTTTTCTTTTTGTGCCAACAAGAAAATTGTAAGAAGAAATACTTGCTAGCAAACAACTGCATCAGTGAATGTCTGACTCTACAACCTGTTTCAGGTTATTCTCTTTACGTGCAAAAGATGCTAGGCTAACAACACAAACTTTTTTACTAAGCTTTGACACTTCAGTTTGCTTCTCACATGGAAGTTAAAGGAAGTTAGAGGGAAARAAGAGAGAAACTTCAACTGGCTTTGAGACTGGCACTAGTCTTGAAGCTTCTTTGAGCTCTGATAGGATTGAATTCTGCCTAACACATTTCTTTTAGAAATAATGATTCTAGCTAAATGGTAATTCTTCAGTATAATGCATTGTCTGCCTTCAATTTGTATAGAAGAGGGTTTTCCAGATGTGATCCCAGAAAACAAAATGTAAATGTATGTAGAGCTAGATGTAACTCAGTTCAGCTGCTTGCTGTATTCTGCTCTGGTGCTAATGTAATGTTTCTCTGTGTGATACTCCCAATGCACCTTGTTATAAGATGAATACAACTCTATTCCAATGAATAAGAAATCCATATTGTGCCTAAAAAACAAAACAAAATCTATAACAAAGACATGCAATCTAAAGGCAGAAAGGCTTGAAGTTCATAAAAATGTACTTTGGAAGTGTTGCTTGAAGAACCAAGGAGGGATGAGAAGCCAGTAGAGTAATAAGATTGTCTTTGTGGCACCTTGTAGCGCCCAAGGAAACGTGGAGAGAGCTCCACCAGACAAGGAAAGCCTTCAGGTTGCAAAAGGAAAAAGTGCTTTTTTTCTGATTTCCATTTTCCATGGGAGATCACGGAAGAGCTAATAGAGCAACTATCCTAAGCAAACATATTGCTTTCTAAAATTAAGAAAGATTTATATAAGGGAAGAGGTGGAAGCTAGATGAGATGCCAAGAAAGCCAGGAAGAAAACTTAGTGGTCTTGAATGCYTTAATGGTCTTAATAATGCAGTCAGATTTGTGTCTTTGTAATTTTTTTCAATATTATGCATATTTTTAAGTTCAGCATTTTAACCTTAACTTGTTTTAATGGATAAAACCAATTTTGAGGGATCAGAATCAGAATTTTTCTCACCCCAAAGTCTGGCAAGTCTTGAGGGTCCTGCCACTTCCGTAATCGTCTGTTTCCTCAGTATTTTATAGGATGTGCAGGGGCAAGTAGCTCAAATGGAGAATCACTTCTATGAAAATAGAGCAATCTAGAGAGGAAGAGTTAATAACAAGGAAAAATTTAGAGCTTTGGGTATATAAGCAGTGATTATGCCTGCTCTCCAAGAGTCSCTAGGAAATATAACATTCAGCACCCTGTCTTACCATTTAAGCYAAGTTCTGCTCTGTCATTCATCCTGCGTATCTTTTTTCCTATGGAGAATCCTCAAGCTATTCCAAATCCCTCAATAAGCACCATGAAGTCTTGAAAGCTGATGAGTTTCTGCGTGTTGGTGTACAAGAATCAGCCTGAAGTTTAGCAATGTGCAGGGACTGTAAAATACACAGGTATCCAGCCGGGTACGAGGGCTGTCCTGAAGGGCACCAGGGTGCCTCTGTGCTCGAGCTGGCAGCTGCTCTTATTCCTCCTCAGTGAAACCCAGTTTCTTTTTATAAGCATGATTCTCCCTCAAACAAGAAGTGTCAAGCAGCAATATGAAGGGCACCACTTTCACTGATCTGATTTTTATTTTAGTATTGTTTTAGCCTCGCATTTGATTGGAAAAAGCATCGGTCCAGCTGTGCTTCCATGTATCCATCTTGATTCTTTCTGTAACCTCGAACAAACTATGAGGCAGAGGAGCTAGAAGAGAAGAAGTAAAGCCAGTAAAAAGACAGAAAACTCGCAAATAATTGCCGTAGGATGTACTGGGCTAAAAGATAGACCCAGGCAAGGCTGAGAAGATGTTTTACTGTTTGTTCATGGAATTGGTAAGCACAGCTCTCCATCTCTCATGTGAGAGTGCAGCTAGATATACCATGCAGTTCTTGTATGTATTTCAATCTGAACTTGTGTTATGGCTTTGCAGTGATTTTATATAGAATACACCGTGAGTCTGCGTGGCTTTGAGAGAATTTCATGCTGTCAGTAGGAAATATGGGGGGTAAAAAGGTAACTTTATGGTAAAAGGGGGAACAAACATGTTGCTGAAGTACTGCCCAGCCTGAACTCTGCCTGCACAGGGGATTTCTAATGATCCTAAATGGGGATCGAATGTAGGGGGCATGTATAAATATGTATATTCTAATGAGCAGTTTATCTGACAGTACAATAAAAGGAGACTATCTTAGGCAGAAGAAAGATGCTGTATAGTTATTGACCTTGAGAGTTMTGGATGGTTCTCATGTCGGCAGAAGGCTGCACTTTGCCTGCTTTCAGTTCCATAATGTCTGGTTTTGGGCAGCAGTGGAGAGCGCAGTATTGTCCCCCCTGCGTTTCTTCACACTCATGATTTTGGCATTCGCTTTCTCCAGGTCCTCATCAAACAGTTATTCAAGTTTTTCACCTTTCCACCTATTTTTCTATTTCTCTCATAACATTCAGTTTAAYTCTTTTTGCAGGCATCCTTCCTTCAATACTTCACCACTACATTAAATTTACTTTTTTCTTTGTGTTGATTCTTCCCTTTTACTCTGTTTAAAACACACATGCAGATGGAGTCAATTTCTTTGTCCAGTTAGCACTTAATAATTGAATTTAGAAAAAATGCTCATTTTTAAGGGGAGAGAGAAAGAAAGGAAAAGAAAGAGAAATGGAAGTCAAAGTACTCATAAGAGCGAGCTTGTGGGAGGGTCAAGTACTGTATTGAGAGAGGATATAGGAAGGGTGCAGTAGTAGCATAAGCATAATTTGGGGAGTTA